GTGGGAGATGAAGGTCCATGTGTCATTGCCGTTAAACGCTATGTTGCTCTTGTACAGCATTAGTGGTTAGCTTGTGTGGGATACTTATTCTAATGTGGTGTTTTCTAAACCAGAGAAGCAAAACTATCGGTAACTTGGTCTTGTTGAACTTATTATTGGCAATAACCAGAAAAAAGAGTAACATTTTCGCTCATTAGGCATCGCATGGCTTGTGGGGGATCTCCCTTCCGATCTATGACCGGTGTCAGTGTGGGCCCTGTTGTCTCCGTTCCTCTATGTGGGGGGGCGTATAAGCTGCAGTAAGGGAGGGGCTCCCCATTAGGGGTGCACGGTCACTCGTGTCCATCCTATGATGTCGGGAGGCTTATTGGGTGGTTTAGTTTGAGGCTAGACCAGATAGACCGTGTGTCCATAAGGGCACGTAAGGGGTGTTGAAGTAGTCTCCAGGATGCGGCCGGGGAGCACAGGCTAGAGGGCCAGTGGCGGCGGTCCATGATGTGATAAAGATGCGTCAGGTTGGGTGGTCTCGTTGTGAAGTCTTCGTCTAATCGTCTCCCCAGAGGCTTTCTACATGGAGAGGGTCCGGGGGAGAGTTACAGTGTTCTAATGGCATCTATATGCATCTTTCCTTATATTTCCTGGGGGGGGGATCCCGGAAGGGTGGCTTTTTTGTAGTGTCCCCTGACGTGTGCACTTAGCCGATGCAGGCTGTACCCTCTTCTTATTTTCTCCGTGGCAACCTTCGCTCTTCCCCTTCTCAATTCCCAACCCGACACCTGCTCCTCTTATCTTAGGGCCCTACAGTCTGTCGGGGTGTATTCTCGTTTCCACAGTGTCTGGGTTTCCTTGGGGGAGAGTACCCCACCCGCCTCTAGGTTCCTGTGTTTGATTTATCTTAGCAGTGCTAGACCGCCTCAGAGTTGGTCAAGTCGTCCTGGGTGTTCCGGTTGTCGATGCTGGGTTGAAGGCCTAAGTGCCTACTCCTATCTCTCCGCTCACCCTGCTATTATAAGCAGGTAGGGTGCCCGCTGTGGTGGAGGACGCAAACCAGATCCAATCAGTGTGGTTGTGGGCACAGGGTTATACAAAAAAGTTTACATGGTGCATTAAACATTATGTTTTGCCATCGATCACTCTCTGCCTCCCCTGTCAAGACACCCAATTGTTCCCTCTTCCAGCCTCCCCCCATCGAGCTTCCCCTGAGTCTCCCTCTGTTTTGATGCAGAGTCTGTAGGGTCTATGGTGCTAGGGTATCACCCTGCGTTTGAATTTGCAATAGGCCCGTTCACTCGCACAGTCCGGCCTCGTCCCTCCTGTGTGTCACCTCTCCGATCCACCCAAAATCCCTAGCCCCCCCCAACCCTGCACTCCATCACTGCGGGTACATTACACAACTGTGGTCTGCACCAATTCCCCATTCCTTTCCCACCCGCCAGGCCTCCACCCAAACATTTTCTCGGGCAGCCTCTAAGGTCTTATTCTCGCTTGTACCCTGCAGACTGGGTACACCGCCCGCCACAGTCGATGGTTCACATGTACTATAGATTATCCCCAGGCCCCTCCATATACACCACAGTCCCGGAGGTCCCTCCCGTTCGGCCGGATCAGGGTCACCCCTTCATACGATACCAGTTAGTGCTTGTCGGTTCTAATGCCGTCTGGATCCAGCCTCTTGCCATTCCACCGGTAAGGCAGTTAGCTCCTCAGCTTGCAGCGGCACCGCAGGTAGATTTAGAGGGGGCTCCAGGGCCAGCTCTCCGAAGAATCGTTGTGGGTCGCCTCCTGCCGCCAGGATGTACACTCTGCTGTCACGGAAAGCCATCAGGCGGAAGGGGAAGCCTCATGCATACCGGATCCCAGCTCCGCGCAAGGCCTCGGTGATCCACTCTCTGCGTCGCTGGAGGGTGCTTGGTGCAAGATCTTGGCATAGGGTAATCTCCACTCCTTAGTGTTTAATGGGAGTCTCCCTGCTTTTCTGGAGTAGGGATTCCTTAGTCATGAAGTGCAGGAACTTGATTATTATATCTCTCGGGGAGTTGGTATCTGGCCGCCTTGTCCGCAGGGCCCTATGGGCTCTTTCCATGTTCCACAGGCTGTCTGGCATGTCAGGGAGTAATGGCTTGAAGATGGCCAGCAGGAGGTCTTGTAGTGGCCCTTCTCCATCCCTCTCTGGTAGGCCTCGAACCCGCAAGTTGTTTCTTCTTGACCGATTGGCCATATCCTTGATTGCGAGCTCGGCTTCGGCCATGCGGGCTGTGAGTGTGTTGACTTGGGCTAACACCTCATTGTGAGCTTTGGTGGTGCCCTCCAGACACTCCACCAGGTGACCGGTCCTCTCCGCCAGGGCATGAATCTCCGCCTGCAGGACCGAAGTGGATTTGCCAATTTCGCCTGCCAGGAAGGTCCTCACTTCAGCTAGGTTGGCCAGTATTTGTGTGGTTGCACCCGGTTATCCCCTTCGACAGCTGCTACACATGGCGTGCTTGGTGTTTGGCCGATAAGTAGGGGTGGATGTGCGCAATGGTTTTGAGATGGAAGCGGCAGGATTTGGCAATTGACTGGATATGAGGGGTGAAGAGAGGTCAGAGTCAAAGAGAACACCTAGGCAGCGAGCCTGCATGGTGGAGCTGATGGTAGCACCATTAATGTGGAGGGAGACAGAAATGGGAGTAGCAACACTTGAGGGAGGAAAGACCAGAAGTTCTGTTTTGGACAAGTTGAGCTTAAGGAAGTGGGCAGCCATCCAGTTAGAAATAGCAGAGAGGCAATCAGAGACACTAGTCAAGAGGGGCGGGGAGAGATCAAGGCAAGAGAGATAGATTTGCATGTCATGTGCATAGAAGTGATATTGGAAGCCAAAGGAGCTGATGAGTTTACCAAGGGAGGCAGTATAGATCGAGAACATTAGGGGACCAAGGACAGAACCTTGGGGGACAACAGCAGAGAGAGTTTGGGAGAAAGAGGCAAAGCCAGAGAAAGAGACACTAAAAGAGCGCTGGGTAAGGTAGGAGGAGCACCAGGAGAGAGCAATATCTCGTAAACCGAGATTACGGAGGATGAGAAGAAGCTGTTGATGATCAACAGTATCAAAAGCAGCAGAAAGGTCAAGGAGAATTAGGATAGAGTAGTGACCATGAGATTTTTGCAGGAGGAAAGAGAGAGGAGCTTGCAGGACCAGTTAAGTGCATGGAATGAGGGAAGGGGTGAAATCTTTATCATGAACTCACTAGTACTACTATCCCAAGGTTAGGGGTAATTACTTCACATGAGCCCTCTCCATACCAAGGAGAATGGCTATCATGTCTTCTGTGGGTAAACTCACGCTTTTTAAGTGGAACCTCCTATACCCCTGTATACATAAGGTCAACTCAACTTGCTCATTTATACTAACCAGTTACATTTTAATACCTCAAGTTGATGAGCAGGTATACCTCTTTCAGTTAGGAGTTTAATTATCGACACATAAATTTGTCTCTCCTTCATAGTCTGAGGTTTTTATGTACATGTGTTACCTGATCCTATATTTTATTCTTGCAGCTATAATTGACTCTTTCCTTCCCAAGTATCTTCTGTCTGATCACACAATTAAACAATGTTTATTAACTGCATGGTTTCTTCGATTCACAAAAAAAAAAGCGCATTACTTCTTGACATACACCGTCACTCTGTTTTATCATTCATGTATTTGCATGACTGTATTACTCTTTCTGCACTGGAAAGATAAAAACTGTCACAGGAGACAATTTTAGAAACAATATGAAAGAGAGAAAGAAGGAGAGGGCATTGTGGAAGGTAAAGTCATAATGAAAAAATGGTTTTAAAAGATGGTAGTAGAATGGTAGTTAGGATACATGAGAAATTATAACAAAAGCATTGATGTGAAAAATATCCTACAGTCACAAACACAAAAGGGGCAGGTGGTTTTAATAATTCTATGTTTTGTTTGTTTCTTTTATCTTGAAAACATTTCAGGATCTCTCCTTTTAAACTGCTTTATATGAACTATTGAAATGCCTACATACTTCTGTTATGAGTTATTTTCTATTATATCCCACACCAAGAGACTTTGTTGACTTAGAGAGAACAGTGTTTAACCATTAATTTAACAATAACGGTTCTTTATGATTTTTCTTTCCTTACACAATCACTTATTATTCTTACAAACATATGCAACAGGCATGGCAGTGCCATAGACAGTGAAGGAAAGGAATTCTTTTAGTCAAAATAATCATATTGAAGACTTGGAGATGTAATGATCTCTAATTTACCATATTGAGTTAGTTTTCTTACTTTCGAAAATTGTATAACCGGATTGATTTTTACTTTTGATTATAAAGGAAAATACAAACATCGCACTCCAACTGTGATTCTGAAGACAAATTGATTTTGAGTATTTCATTATTTTTTATTTCTTATCCAACATGTAAGTAAATACAGAAAATGCAAAGAGAATATAGCCATTTATTTTATCTATAATCAGATGTTTAGTCACCTTCAAAAGTAAAAGTCCCTTTATATAAATCATGACAAAAATCTGTAAAATATACACAGGCAATTTGCTATAATTCATTTAACATTTAGCAACTTTTGGAATATGTACTTTTTTATTTAGGATAAACAACAAAAATTATAAATTGTATTAAAACAATGAAAAGATTATTGGCATCTAATTGTTCCTATAAAACCAACAAAACCAAATCTTGATTTACACTGCACTCTTTGAAATATTTTTCAATCTTAAAGGAAAACTTCAAGCACTGCAGCTCACTATAGTGATTATGGTGCCAGGAGTGCCCTGGTGTCCCCTATAGTAAAGGGTCAAACCTGGGATCTACATGGAAATGCTCACCACCTCTACTACTAATGCTGGAGAGCCAGGTGTTCCAAAGCAGGAACTTCTGTTAGCTCTCCTTACGGTGCACTGAAGGCACAATAAACACTACAGTGAGCTGCAGTGGTTCTGGTGCTTGAAGTGATCCTTCTGTTCACCAGGATCTTGTCAGAAAACATCTTTCCAAGATATATAGGTAATAACTGGGATTATTCTAGAACATACTAGAATGCTATTTGTAATGTAGGCAACATAGGGTAGTACTTCAATGCCCAGGAGTCTATAGATGATACAAGACTCCCACGGTACAGTGCGCTACCTGCCACCATTAACGAAGCTGGTCTTTGTTACACCTGGTCTCTATTTTTGTGCTTTAGTTCACATTGTTTCAGACTCTCTTTGCCTCTCCTTATTTGTTTACAGCTTATTCACATTTGCAGCTAGTTTATTACTTTCTCCTCTAGTGCCATATTTTGGTTTTCATGGGTTTCTGCTCATCTGTTAAAGGACCACTATAGTGCCAGGAAAACATACTCGTTTTCCTGGCACTATAGTGCCCTGAGGGTGCCCCCACCCTCAAGGTCCCCCTCCCGCCCGGCTCTGGAAAGGGGAAAGGGGTTAAAACGTACCTTTTTCCAGCGCTGGTCAGGGAGCTCTCTGCCTCCTGTCCTCCTCCGTTACGCCCCGCCGGCTGAATGCGCACGCGCGGCAAGAGCTGCGCGCGCATTCAGCCGGTCTCATAGGAAAGCATTTACAATGCTTTCCTATGGACGCTGGCGTGCTCTCACTGTGAAAATCACAGTGAGAAGCACGCAAGCGCCTCTAGTGGCTGTCAATGAGACAGCCACTAGAGGGAATAGGGGAAGGCTTAACCCATTCATAAACATAGCAGTTTCTCTGAAACTGCTATGTTTATTAAAAAATGGGTTAACCCTAGCTGGACCTGGGACCCAGACCACTTCATTAAGCTGAAGTGGTCTGGGTACCTAGAGTGGTCCTTTAAACGTAAGTTTTCCATTGTTCATGCTTCCCCAATTCAGCTGTCATGTTACTGGGTTCACCCTATCCAGCAGGTCTCTTGCTTCACGTATTCTAGTTATCTTCACTGTTGGCTGTGCCCCTGATTCAACTAAGTGCACAAATTCTGTAGTCAGAAATTCTACAAGAGCCTATCTGAGCATAGTTTCTGTGGTGTATTGTTTAATTAACATGGTGTATCTGTGTGATGACCTATAATGTTTACAGTAACATACTCACATACAATTTTATGACATGACAGGAGGCTTCATATTTGCTTAAGTCTCTCTTTACTAGAACTCCACAGCAGCACATTAACATAGAGAGAAAAATAACAGAGACAAAAAACTCATCCCAAGCAACTAATTCCTCTTTCTTTGCAGCTCCGCAGTCAGTACAGGTCAGAGTACCACTGCCTCCTGTTTTATGGGTGGCTGCGTGTTTTATTATCATATTCATTGGAGTTACTTGTAACTTGTGCATTATTCCATACAGTTTATTTACTGTTTTACCACTTTTATTCTTTTTGTTTTATGCAGTTTTTTCTTAGGCAGTGTCTATTTATATGCCGTTTTATTTCCCTTGCTTGTGCATGGTTAGGTGTTTAGCTGCCTGCTAGTGATACCTGTCCTCTGTCTCCTCTAGGTATCACATTGCATCACCTCCTGCACTATGGAAACCTCTACACAGGAGCAGAATTTGCAGGCTGTGATTAATGTGGCTGTGGCCACCTCTGTGGAGAAGGCCCTGGCTAAGGTCCTCCCTCAACAACAACTGGAACGGGATGCAAGAGGAAACCCCTGTTTGGCAGATGACTCGGCGGAGTCAGACTCTCAGGAGCAAGGGCAGGCAAGTGCGCTAACGCGCAATTGGAGAGGTGAAGGCCCTGAACCATGCTCCCGGAAGGGTAAAGCCCCGGCGAAGCATCAAGGCTCGAGGTTATCTACCTCACCGGCCAGGCGCCGCCGTTTATTGGGCGCATGGGAGGAGGCCTCCTTATCCCCCCATACTATGGCTGTGCTAGATGAGTGGCAGGCGGACCAGTCCCCCTCAGAGGAGGAGGTTTATTGGGACGAGGACCATGGGGATGACCCCAAGTGGCGCTGGGAGAATGAAGATAATGGGGGATGACACCTTCCTGGATGCTACGGCAGAGCCTTTGTTTGATCCTCGATCCATCTGGCACCCCAGATCCTCAGACTGGTCATTGCCTGACCACTCGGCACAATTCGTGCACTACTGGGTACGCAGACCTCTTGAATGGGAGGTTCGCAAGAAGATGCGGGCAGAATGCCCCAGACCCGTCCTGCCAGACAAAGTGGCCACAACACCGGAATTTGACCCCCTGGTGGCCACATACATGACCTGTAAGGGTCGGGACCCAAAGAAAGGGGTGGAGCGCAGCCTCCGCTCAGCGCAAGATAAACAGCTGCATATGTTGGGTTCCCAGTGCAGGATGCTGGCGCTGGCTAACGAGGCCTACTCGGAAAGTACGGCCCTGGACCTAGCCACCATGCGAGACTGGGCACTACGCTCCATTTGCCTGCTGGGGAATGCTAATGTGGCCCTCTCCACGGAACACAGGAAGACAGTCCTGCTCCGTATGGACAGCAAACTGTCGGAGATGGGGTCAAAAGAAGTGGGACCCCGGCTAAAGGCCTGCTGTTCGGGGGAGCTGCACAAACCCGTTAACCTGTTCACCTCCCTGGACAAGGCCCAGTCTTCCGACCTCAGACATCCCGGGTATTTGGAAGGGCTGGACGACAGCAGGGTCGTGCCTCCAGCCACAGCTGGTCTTCGGGCCGCCATTGATCCTGTGACCAGCCTTCTTCCCATCATACCAGGCCAGACCCGCCTACACTCAGAGGTCGGATAGAGGCCGAGGGAATCGTGCAAGAGGACATGCAAGGTTCTCCGCAGGTGAGCACAGCTCCTGCCATTTCTCCTTTTCCTCTATTGCATGCGGGCAGACTGTTTCACTGCAGGGACAGGTGGCGGGAGGTATCTTCAGATACATGGGTCCTTCAGACTGTTCAGGGATATGTCATAGACTTTCACTCCCCTCCAACAGAGGTCGGACCCCCAAGGGTTCCCGTCATCTCAAGAGAACAACAGATCCTGATAGATACGGAAATCCGGACTCTGTTCGACAAGGGCGTGGTCCAATGGGCCCCGGACACAGGGGGTTTCTTCAGCTCGATCTTTCTTGTGAGGAAGAAGTCCACCCAGTAAGCAACTTGCAGGAACTGAACGCCTTCATGGTCTACCACCACTTCAAGATGGAGGGCATCCATCTTCTACGGGACCTTCTCCGGCCAGGAGACTGGTTCACAAGACTGGACCTGAAGGACGCTTACCTCTCCGTCCCGGTAGACGACGAATGTCGCAGATTCCTCCGTTTCCTCTGGAAGGGCAGTCCATGCCAATTCATTTGTCTTCCCTTCGGCCTCAGCTCGGCTCCGTGGTGCTTCACCAAGCTCCTGAAGCCGGTGGTCTCTCGGCTCACATCAGAGGGCGTCCATTGTATAGTATAGCTAGACGACATGCTGATCTTCTGCGAGGACCCGTCCAGGCTCAAGTGTCAGACACGCTCTGCGGTCTCCTTATTCAAAAGCCTGGGGTTCGTAGTCAATCGGGAGAAATCAACTCTCAACTCTTCCCAGACAGTGGAGTTCTTGGGTTTTGAGGTGGATGCGAAAGACTGCGTTCTGGCCTCTGGCCAAGATAGCGACCATTCGGAAGGAGATAAGGAGGATCCTACGGCAAGACCGGATCTCCCTTCGAATGCTAGCTCGCGTGGTGGGCCTCCTCTCGGCCTCAATTCAGGCAATCTACCCAGGCCCGCTCCACTACAGGGCTATGCAACAGCTGAAGGCCATTTTTTTACGCAAGAGCCTCTTACGACCAGTTGATTCCACTGTCTCCGGACGTGAAGACCGAACTGCGCTGGTGGCTCCTGCACATGTCAGCCTGGAACGGCAAGGCGATATTCAGACCAACACCGGATTTCGTACTGGAATCGGATGCGAGTCTGTGGGGCTGGGGTGCCACCTGCGCGACCGGGTCCACGGGTGGCCCGTGGTCGAACAAGGAATCGGAGTTCCACATCAATTGCTTGGAATTGATTGCGGGTTCATTTGCGATTCGGAGCCTGGCAAACCATCTCTCAGACTGCTGCGTCCTCCTTCGGATGGACAATGTATCAGCGGTACAGTACATCAACCGCTTGGGGGGCACGCGGTCTCGAACACTGTCGGAGATTTACAGCTTCTGTTTCCAACGCAACATCACCCTGCAGGCGGAATAGCTTCCGAGGGAATCGAATCTGACAGCGGACTGGTTCTCCAGATATTGGAGAGACGCCAGCGATTGGAAGCTCCTTCGGCCCATCTTCCTCGAACTCACGAATCAGAGGGGCCTATTCACGGTGGATCTATTCTCCTCCAGGATGAACTGCCAGATCCAGACTTACTACAGCTGGCTTCCGGACCCAGAGTGCTCGACGGTGGACGCCTTTCTCCAGGTATGGCCTTCGCAGGGAGCGTATGCTTTTCCTCCGTACGCTATGATTCCCAGGGTATTTCTACAAGTTCGACGTCAGCGTGTGTCCTTGGTATTACTGACTCCGCTATGGCAGAGTCAAGCCTGGTTTCTGGAGCTCTTGGACCTCTCCCATCGTGATCCTCTACTCTTACCGTCCCCTCGAATGCTCCTCTCGTACTCCAGGGACAACCCACATCCCCTAGTGAGGGACGACCACCTGCACTTGGTGGCCTGGACTCTTTCAGGGGTACCTGGAATGTCGAGGCATTTCTGGTGTCGTTGGTGCCTGGAATAGGATACCGATCCCATTACAGGCTCTGTACCTAGCGTGTTGAACCTTTTGTCTCACCTCTTCGACTTCGGACAGTTGTATGGCTCGGTTAACCTGGCTAGGTCGGCTATCTCGGCGGTGCATGTCCCGCTTCGAGGTTTTCCCATCGGCCAGGATCCACTAGTCTGCAGACTCCTTCGTGGGATGAGGCTGGCGCGTCCACCGGTGCCCAAGTACTCCTCCCTCTGGGACGTACGTGCAGTTTTAGCTTTCCTTTGGGATTGGCCGCATAACCAGGACCTTTCCTTTCGCCAGCTTTCACCCAAACTTGCCCTCTTACTATGTCTAGTCTCGTTCAGGCGTGTTTCTGATGTCCGGGCCTTCAATGTCAACGCTTTTTCATTCTCTCCGGAGGGGGTCACCTTCAAGGTGGTTAGACGTACCAAGTCGGAGTCAACGACTGTGTGGCAAAGACGCTGGCTCGTTATGTAGCGGTTACCGTTCCACTTCGCTCTTCTCATTCTGGCCAGTTGTTGATCTCGTATGTCAGACCACACAAACCGTTCTCGTCTCCGACCCTGGCTCGATGCATAAGATGTTTTTTGACACTGCCGGGGGTGAATTCGACCTTCAGAGCGCATTCAGTTAGAGGTGCCACAGCTTCAGGAGCTTTCATGGCGGGCGCTTCCCTTCAGGACATTTTGCGCTTGGCGGACTGGTCCTGTGAAGATACTTTTCGTCAAATCTACTTTAGACCTTCAGACCATGCTTCTTTTGCTTTGCTGTCGAAGCGTTAAAAAAGCAAATATGAAGCCTCCTGTCATGTCATAAGGCAAAGGAAAGGTTTTTTTTTACTGTAAGAACAATCAGGATGTGGAATTCTCTGCCTGAAGAAGTGGTTTTATTAGAGTCCATACAGATGTTCAAACAGCTACTAGATGCATACTTGCAAAAACAGAATATTCAAGGATATAATCTTTCAATGTAGGGTAATAACTACTTGATACAAGGATAAATCTGACTGCCATTCTGGGGTCAAGAAGGAATTCTTTTCCTAGCTTGTTGCAAAATTGTGCTTCAAACTGGGTTTTTTGCATTCTTTTGGATCAACAGCAAAAAACAAATGTGAGGAAGGATGAACTTGATGGACGCAAGTCTCTTTTCAGCTATGTTACTATGTAACTATGTAGATTATACTAGCTTTAGTGTTACTATAATCTTAATTTTATTAATGACAGGCTATTTCCCGCCCAGTTTTCCTTCCCCCCCTTATTTTGGTTGGTTGTTTTGACTGATTTTCTGTTTAGTTGCCTGGTCTCCTAGGCTAGGCTTGTTAGTCTAGGGAGATATCTTGGGAAGTTGGGGGAGGTATTTGGTATATTATATAGTCAGTAGTTGATGATTGAATTCATGTTTTGTACTGTCAGTACTGGATGATGGGATTCATGTTTCCTCAGTACATTTCGTTCCCTAATCAGTGTTTTCGACTCTGTTTATCTTGTTTCAGTTTGATGGTTCGACTGCAGTTCATAGAACCGACTGTCTTACAGGATAAGGATCAAGATTCCATCCATTCTTCCAAGTTCTTCCGGATTGCATTCATCATTATGTTATGTTTGTTCTTCCTTATATTTGTTTATTGGCATTGTTATGTACCTTATTTTGTCGCAGCATGAAAGAGGAAATAGTTGGTTGGGAGGAGCCTCTTATGGATTCCTTATGTTTTTGTCTTTGGTGTTTTTCTCTCTATGTTAATGTGCTGCTGTGGAGTTCTAGTAAAGAGAGACTTAAGCAAATATGAAGCCTCCTGTCATGTCATAAAATTAAGATTATAGTAACACTAAAGCTAGTATAATCTACAATTATTGTGAACTCATGTGAATGTGGACAAATGTTTACTGACCGTTAAACATAAGTGAATAGCAACAAAGTATAGCAATAAAAAACACAAGAAAAAAACAGAGAATGAGAACTGAGAACAGACAAAAGCTTAGAAAAACTCAGTAGTTTGCCCCTCAGTAAATCTCCACTTAGGTCTCAAAATAGTTTTTACTCACTCGTGCCATTACAGAAAGAACATATTCCAAGGCATACCAGATAGATCACACCCATAAGGGCAGTCCAAAACCGGTTTAGCTGATATCCCTCTAGGCACAGTAAGCTCATGGTCCATGTCTGGATTATCCTTTTAACTTGGGGAAAATACCACTTCCTGATCTCTTATGGTAAATATGAAAAAAATATCTCTATTTTATTTATAACCCTGTAAGAGCCAGACATATTCCTAGCTCATTGCAAAGCAATGTGTATAGTGCACCTCTGGCAATGGAAGTGCTAAAAACATATTGCAAACTCTAATGAGTTTTAGTACTATGACAAAATGAATTATCCCAAAGCATGAAACTTTCAGCCCCCAAAAATCCAGTTTAGGCAAAAACAATTGGATACAGGGCAAGATAATAACGGTGAGCATTATACCTGTATATCAGAGATTGCTGACAGCATGTTTCAAGAGACACTCACAGTGCCGATATCGGAGAACAAATTGTATAAGATATAAAGAAAACATA